CCCTGTCCCATTTTATGTTAAATAATCTTAGAGGCTTTGTAGACACAGAGGTTTATTATGTACAGTATGTCAGAGGCCTTGACGGCCCATATGTATTAATGTTTTATGAACGATGGTTCATTAATATAACATTTGCCCATCCATAGTTGTACATTATGAGTTATGGCCATGTTAGCCCATGATAGTTACAAAGAAAATGAATGAGTTACAGAGTGGTTCCCTCGGGCCAGTGCGGCATCGGATGCTAGCCACGCCTCCCCAGGTTTGGGGCGTGACAAAAAGACACATCCTAAATAATCTTAAACATATATTTCCATTTTATTAGTTATAAACCTGTCCACCTCCCCTATCTTCTGCTTTTCCTATTGAGTTAACTACAATAACGGACTAAATTAATGTCATTGATAGGTGAAGACCAATTTAGTGTTATATTATAAATATCTTCTTCATTGTGAAACATGAAGCCATTCTTTCGTTTTCAGTGAGGTTAGACTCGCAAGTTATCCCTTGGGGTGGGAGTTTTAAGTACCTTGGGTCTATTATTCAGGGGATGGGGAGATTGATGAAGATGTCACACATCATATTGGGGCGGGATGGATGAAATGGAGACTCGCTTCCGGTATTTTGTGAAGGTGCCACCGAAACTTAAGGTAAGTTCTACCGAGTGGTGGTCAGACCAATGATGTTGTATGGGGCTGAGTGTTGGTCAGTCAATCATGTCCAGGAGATGAAGGTAGCAGAGATGAGGATGTTGAGATGAATGTGCGGGCACACCAAGTTAGATAGGATCAGAAATGAGGTTATTCGCGACAAAGTGGGTGTGGCCCCTATTGAGGACAATATGTGGGAAGCGCGGCTTAGGTGGCTTGGTCATGTTAAGAGGAGGAACACAGACGCCCCAGTGAGGAGGTGTGAGAGGTTGACATTGGAGGACCTACGGAGAGGTAGAGGTAGGCCAAAGAAGAGGTGGGGAGAGGTGATTTGGCAAGACATGTCGCAACTTCAGCTGACCGAGGACATGACCTTTGATAGGAAGGTATGGAGGTCGAAGATCTAGAGTGTTCATAACAGTAGTATTGGCACGCAGTCTCGCTTTTTGTTGGTAGTAGGTTTTTATGACTAACCGTTGTTTTCTCTCATTGTTGATCACCTTACTGTCTTGTTGTTTTTATTCTAGTTTTATATGACTTTTTGGTACTGTCCCTTCTTATCTATATTTTCATTAATGTGGTGCTTATGCTTTCCTGAGCCGAGGGTCTATTGGAAACAACTTCTCCACCCTCACAAGGTAGGGGTAAGATCTGCATACATACTACCCTTCCCAGACCCCACGGTGTGAGATAATACTGAGTATGTTGTTGTTATTGTTGTCTTTCTTTGCATTCAATGGAGAATTAGGTGTGGTTGTTTTTATATGCACCTTTTGATTCTTCTTGGGAAAATTATGTAAAGAGGGAAAAAATTTATTTTGTGCCTCACACAACTGACACTAGTTGTGTGAGGCCTCTTTTTTGTCTCACAACTGTGTGGGTCCCTGAATTTTATGGACCCAGATGTGTAAGATATGGGTCCACAAATATGTAAGATAAAAAGAGGCCTCACACAATTAATATAAGTTGTGTGAGACACAAAATAAAATCACTCGTAAAGAGGTACTCTTAGTTTGAAAATGTAGGTAAGAGGTTTAACTTTTATTTTGGAGCATCTACTCGTAATTATAAGATCAAGATAGTTTGTTTATGTGCTATTACTCCGAACGATTGTAGTTTAATTTATGCACATTCTTTTTTAACCAATTTCAGTAGTATGGTTCATAATTTCATATATTTGAGATGCAATGATGGATCAGGTTCTGTCACATGCTTAGTGGCACCTTTGTTTGGCCAACATTCATATTTGACTTTTTTTTTTCCGGGGGTTGGGGGTTTGGGGAGGGGGGGGGGGTATGCTTTATTTTTCCCTTCATTTGGTTATTCTCATTATTAAATGCTAAAAATTTATTTATTTACACAAATAAATTAAGACTACTAAAAGTTGTGGGCGAGAATAGACATAACAAGTTGGTAAATTTTTCCAGATATATAGAATTGGTAAATTTTCCCATATAGAATTCTTCTTATTGATTAAATTCTGTGAACAGAAGCCAACGATTTTTCTGCTGATTTAATTAGTTGCTTTCTCATTAAAAGGCACATGAATGTTTGCATGAGGTAAAGCTTTCCGGTCAGGAATGAATTCTTCAGCAAGCTGGTATTTCATATGTTCTTATGTCTCTTTCTCATATCCATTTGTAATTTTGTCTAGTGGGCTGTGGTGCTTTCTTAGTTGTTTTCATGTTTCAAGCCTAGATTTAGAACTGCTCCTATATCTATATATGATCTTCTCGGATTTTAAGGTAGTATTAAATTTATTTCGAAAAAGATTAGAATTTAGAATGATGATTACCTGGAGTAACAAAAGCATTTGTTGCATTAAATTGGATAAGAGATGGGATCCAATAAAAAAAGGAAAAAACCAAAAAAATAAAAAGAGAAAAGTCAGGAAAAGGGAGTAGCCCGTTTGGCCAAGATGCAAAAATCAGCTTATTTTGAGAAGTGCTTTTTTTCAAAAATGTTTTTCTCAAAAGTACTTTTGGTGAGAAACAGTTTGTGTTTGGCTAATTAGTTTGAAAAGCACTTCTGAGCAGCAGAAATGAGAAAGAAAAGAAAAATTGCATCCGTTACATGTTCACCACATAATAATTTTCTTTTTGCCGTTTTTACTTTATTTTTAAATAGAAAGTAAAAACATAAATTAGCTTAAAAAGGAATATTCAAATAACTTATTATACCAAAATAAGTATTTAGAGAAATAAAGAATTTTCTCAAACTTCTTATTTATTACTTAAAACTCGAGGTCTCTAAATATGTTTAATTACTTTCATGTAGAGTACAATTTTTTATTTTGAGTTTGAGCTTTTTCTTATCTACGTCTTCCCCTGTACGAGTGCCATTTATTTAATTTCTTTTTTATTTCATTTCTAACAAGAGAAATATGCAAGTTGATATGTAAAACATACAAAATATCTGGTAGGATAGCAACGGGACGTATTAGTTTTTTTTTATAAATCACTGGCACTTATATTTATCAGTTGTTGGTTTTGTAAATCAAAACTAAAAATATAGTAAATTAAAACTATCGTACTCTTTAATATTTTCTTTTTAGACCGCACGCGAAGCGCGAACTGATTTCCTAGTTGTATATAAAGTAATAATGTCGATAGAATACAACAGATAACAACCATCCAAACAAGCTGTAAATATCATGCCTCAATTCTAGATCAGCACGTGGCCAACACCCAATACCTTTAAGTAAACCATTGAACTCGTCTAAACATTCATTACTTTGGCTTGCAAAACATATCATAACTCGCATAGCGTTTATTACGATAAACGATTCAAGTTTTTATTTGAGTTTCTTGAACATTATTATTATGGATTAGTTACCTCCTATAGTAAAGGTTGATACCTTATTTATTTTAAATAAATATCATTTTAAAAAATTATATTTCAGAACTACCTTTTGATTTTTTATATTCAAATATCTATTTATGGTCACCTCCTACCCTTAATCCATAAAATAAGCTTTGTATTATTTTTCTCTCTCATATCCCTTCAAATTTCTCCTATCCCTACCCCATATCTATTCTCTCTCTCTCTCTCTACTTCCCATGTCTTCTCCTCCGCCGGAATATGCAACACCAAGCCCGTGATTTGATCAGTTTCAAATTTATACAAGATATATTAGTTTGTCTGCGTCTGAAAGATGAAACTCCCACTTAGACCGTTTTGTATGATCCCCTACTGATGCCTGATAACTCTTGCCAAGCATGAAACATTTTTCACAGAGTGAGCCATTCTATAGGAGTCCGTTTGATGATGATTTTGTTGGCCGCTATTCTGCTGTGGTTCACGGCGGATTCGCCGGAAATTAGGGTTTTTTTCTTGAACAAAGATGACGGAGTTTGGGGCGGAGCAACTTGATTTTCTGTTAGTATATTTCAATGTATTTTCATGTATTTTATTGTATTCATTGTCTTTTTTTTTTTTTTTGTAATTCAATGTATCTCGTTGTATTTTATTGTATTCACTGTCTTTTTTTTCATTGTATTTCAATGTATCCCGCTGTATTCTTTGATTTCATTGTATTCACTGTCTCACTATATGCCATGAATGTATTCATATGTTTTTTAAAATTAATATAATTTATGTATTCAGATGTATTATATAATTTCTCTGAAGATTACTATATTTTTGGGGTATTTTTTGGTTGAGAATCTTTTTTATAACTGAAAATACAAAATTTGTGTGTTATAAGTGAGTTTGTTGAGTTATATTAGGAGTCTATTATGTTAATTGATTCACTTTCCGTGTAAAAACAGTGTAATCCCCTGTTTCACGCCGTGAATACAGTCGAATACAATAATCTGTCCATCCGTAATCCCATGTTTCACGCCATGAATACAGTCGAATACACTCGAATACAACAACTGATTAGCTGGACTTCCCTGATTCACGCCTATTTTTGCTACTGTATTCATGAATACAGTAGCTTAAATACATCTAATACATCTTATAACAACAGAAAATGTATCTACAATACGTAATATAGCAAATAGTATCTATAGATAGCTAATTACCACTAAAAGATAGTGCTTTATGAATATTTCTCTATTATTATCAGTAGAAATGATAGTCACTCTAAAGCGATGCTATTTAAGAATTAGCCAATATTTCTTGAATTTAAGTTTTTCAGTTCAAATTTTCGGAACAAAAATATTTTGAGTTATTCTGAAATTAAAATTTTTAGTTTGAAATTTCATGGTAAAATAAATATGACTAATATCTAGACAGCATCTCTGAGAATGACTATGCACTGCTCCACATTATTATGTGAGGATTAGGAAACTGCTAATATATAAATTTGGCCATGCCTTAAATAGGGGTCCTCAAAGTGGCTATCTGTGCACTTCCTATCACTCGGTAGCGTCCTTTTCTGTAAGTTCCCACAAGGAGTAATGGCTCTCTTTTTTCCAGTTTAAAGCAGCCCCTAAACCCCCAAATTCAGAAACCCTAAATTAAAGCCATGGCAGCACTTCGCAGCAAGCTCCGACTCATCACCACCCACCACCACCGCCGCTACTCCATCCTAAACCCTGATTCCAAAACCCCGCTCTCCGCCAAGGACAAATCACGCGCCGCCCTATCCCTCCTCAAATCCGAAACAAACCCACAACGCATCCTCGAAATCTGCCGTGCCGCTTCCTTAACCCCCGAATCCCATCTCGATCGCGTTGCTTATTCCAAAGCCATTTCAAAGCTCAAAGATCTCAATCACTTCTCGGGTATCCGCTCATTTCTCCAAGAATCCACGATCCGACCCGACTTGAAATCCGAGCGGTTCATTTCCCATTTTATTGTTCTTTATGGGCAGGCTGGGCTTATCGATGAGGCGAAAAGGGCTTTTGATGAAATGGAGGAGAAAATGGGTATTCAAAGAACTGAAAAAACTCTTAATTCTTTGCTATTTGCTTGTGTTTTAGCTAAAGATTATGCTGAACTGAAAAGGATATTTGTGGAATATCCTAAAAAGTATGGGTTTGTTCCGGATTTAGATACTTATAACTTGGTGATTAAAGGATTTTGTGAATCAGGTTCTTCGAGTTCTGTTTATTCGATTTTGGATGAAATGAGTAGGAAGAATGTTAAGCCTAATGCGACGACGTTTGGGAATTGTATAACCGGGTTTTATAAGGAGGAGAAGTATGAGGATGTTGGAAAAATATTGGAAATGATGAAAGAATATGGTATAGCGCCGGGAATTAGTACGTATAATTTAAGGATTCAGAGCTTGTGTAAGCTTAAGAAATCGGGGGAAGCTAAGGCGTTATTCGATGGGATTTTATCGAGAGGTTTGAAGGTGAATCATGTGACTTATGGTCATTTGATACTCGGGTTTTGTAGGGAAGGTAATTTGGAAGAAGCGAAGAGTTTGTTTCAGAAGATGGTTAATACTAGCGGATTGAGACCGGATGCTGAATGCTATTTTACGTTAGTGTATTATTTATGTCAAGGTAAGGATTTTGAGGCTGCGTTGAAGATTTGTAAAAGTTGTTTGGCCGAGGGATGGGTCCCAAATTTCTCCACAATGAAGTCACTCGTTGAGGGGTTGGCTAGCATTTCGAAGGTTGATGATGCACGGGAAATCATAGGTCAAGTGAAGGAGAGGTTTTCGAAGAACGTTGAGAAATGGAACGAGATTGAAGAGGCATTGCCGAAGTAGGGAGAGAAGTACTAAACATGGTATACTACAGTTTTTCTGGTCTGCAGTGTGCCATGGTCTTAATAAATTTAAAATTCAAAAATTTCTAGGGAAATTTTGTTATGTATCTTAGTAAAATGTCTTCGGAAACCGTTTTGATTTTGCTCGTTCAAGTGAATCATTCTCCTTTTGATATGGGCAGAACTAATTTTGCATAATTTATGCTAAGAAATGTGTTTTATCAAGGGACATTCTAGATACCTACATAATTATAATTGCACGTATTTAATGATCTTACGAAGATGCATTTACATGAATCTTGTTTACCTACTTCCCTTGACAGCCTAAAATAGGATGATCTTTGCTATCCATTACACTTCTATGAACATTTGATATATTCTTCACACACTTTGTTTTTAAGCAACCTTTTGTTTTCATGGTTTGTCCAAGGGTATTTAAGGTGAAGCTTTGGTATCGTTCTAAGTTTCTAAAGAATGTGAAGATTTGACCCAAGGAATTGACTTTAAGCATAGTCTCTTTATATAAGTGACTTGATGGGCTCAAATCACTTTATAGGTAGCAACTTAAAGCTTGAACTTTAGTCTGGTAAAAGTGACTTGATGGGCTCATTTATCTGCTAATAGCCCCTCAGTTGCTCATATTCCCCCCCCCCCCCCCCCCCCCAAATTCCCTTTTGGTTGTCGATGTCTGATTTCGTTGTGGAATTTCTTTATTCATATATGCTTTGCTTCGTACCAAGTTACATGTCATTTGGCCTAACTTTTTGACAAACAGACTGTTATCAAGATATTAACATTGACTGGAAATTATTCACATGTGTTTTTAGGTAATGAATACTCCTATTCTATACCAGGCTCTTTTATAGCTAAAGTGGTTAACATTGCAAGATGCATGTCTTTGGGAATGTCATGCTCTAAACACCCTTGAGTCCTTGACAACACATTAAGCTTTAGAACATGTTTACCTGCTATTACATGGATAGTTAGGGCTACCAAATATTTTCCGAAATTTGAATATTTATAGCAGGCTGTGATGAGGTCTTTAGCTTTTTCTGTCTGCCTCAGTAAGTGCAGGAGGGAAGCTGCTTTGACTGCTAAATCTTCTCTATTAAAGCTGAGCGCATAAACTACTCAGAGCTGCATTAGTTTTGACAATTGTCTATGGTTCACCTCTGCTTTTGTTTTTTTAAAACTAATGCCTGCTCTCTGTGTTTGATAGAAGAACAGCAGTGGAAAGAGCACTTCTGTGTTTCCTCTATACATGACTTTACCTTTTCCTCAGTGCCGTTTGTATAATTGGTGATATAGTGCGAACTGCTTGGTTGAAAATTTAAATTAAAAATTGTGCGCATAACTGGAGTTGGTGCAACTGGAACCTTCTTCTTCTTTTTTTTTGGTTTTGGTTCGTGGCTTGTTCTTCGATTTTTGCTTCGATTATTACTGTGAAAAAGGTTGATTTTTACGTTCACCTTGTTCTAATCTGGAACGATAAGTAATCTTAATGAACTCAAGATTCTAAGGCTAATCTGATACAAACAGCCGTATGTGCTGAATGCTGATTATCATAACAGTCCAGTTGGTGCATATCAGACATCCTGTTTTAACAGGAACCTTCTACATATGTTGAACAAACGATTGGGAGATATAAAGTAGGAAGGCCTTAACTGAAAAGTTGAATTACCAAAATAACCTTTTAAAAATTTGAATACCCTATCTATTCACAAAAATTAATAATATACTAATAATAATTAAATAAAAAGGAGGAAATTATTCTGAAGGGTTGTGTCTCTTAGAATACTTCAAATTAGTACTAATACATCTGACCCATACCAATAGCCACTTTTCTCTTATGTTGTGTATATGTGTACAAATAAAGAGTAAAGAGCAGAAAATTATTTGATATGTCTTTTCTTAAAAACGTTGGTGTCGCTTCAATGGTATAGTAACATATCCAAGTTTACAACCAGTACTTTATGAAAGGAAAGAGCCTTATATATTTAAACAAAATGAATTAAACACTGCCAATTAGTAATATACATAGCAATAGTCACTCCCTTAGACATTCATCCGATTTTCTGCATGAGATGCAACCTAATTAGCCACTATAACTTGCTGTCAACTCTTCTTTGTTCCTTACCAGTTCTTCCAAAAACACCTTTTTTCTATTGAGTTGAGTTCTTAGAAGAAATTAAGGAGTGCAACTAAATTAGTATCCTAAAGATCTATATTTTCATTGAAGTTCTCTCACACAATTTTACCCTTTTAGAGTATTTTTTAATATATTTATAGTAGTTTTAGGATAGTAATATTCCATATCAATAGATCTTCTTTGTGCAAGAGAAAAATTCAATGCTGAAGATTGTGATTCAGATCTTTCTGATTCACAACAAAAATGGCCAGAAGAAATTTTGGTAGCCATGTTTATAACAAATTAAGTCGGTAAGATGCCAATATTTGAAGACGAATAAAGTTATTTACGATGTTATTAAAGTATATGGAAGGATAAAAGACTATACATATGCTTCTTATTTTAAACTCCATTTGATTGGCTTCTATGACATAATTTAGCATTCAAGTGATTGTGGTTCCATTAAAAAATAGAGTAATTCCATACCATACATGAGATCAACAAATATTCAGTACAAAAGTATCACATATTTTCTATCCACTATATATGATTTCTGATTATATTGAATGCTTGGGGTTGTACTGGCCTTCTCCAACATAGAGTTGAATTGGCGCTTCGCAACCTATTCAAATTGGTTTAGAAACACAGATTACATAAGGTAAAAGAATGGCGTCTTGCACTTGGAATTACAAAAAAGAAATATAGACACCAACAAATTTCCTTGATAATAGAGTTGTCAAATTACAATAGGAAGATAAAGACATCTCCAAAGTGAGAAAGAAAAGAAAAGAAGATGGAAGCATAAATAGGTTCTACTTATTTACTCTCTTTACTTCTAATTTTATTTTATTTTATGTGATTTGTGATGTATGAAACAATATTAGATAGAATATTCATTATATGATATCTCGTGAAAATATTTTTAAAATTGCATGCATATCGTAGTTTGAATAACATGTCGCTAAACGTTAATTTTGTTATTTTTTTAATCAAATGAAATAGATCAATTGATATGTACAATTTCGTTGCATGAATATAATAAAATTATGTGGAAGATTATTTTCAATGTGGTAAACATATGAACTAGGCTTATATTAATATTTTTCAATATTGGATTGTATCTACCACACATGTTTTCACACGTGACCAACTTCACATTGCACACCAAAAAAGACAGCAATATCGGCAACAAAAATTATGGTCATGAAAAAGCAACCTAAATGGATGAGATGAAAATATACCATGAACAACGTCTATAAGAATGTATTAGGTGATATATGCTCAGGGGCAGATTTATAGGCAAAAATATGGGGCACGTGAACCCATGGTCTCTCTGCAAAATTAGATATTTTATGTAGATATTTTCTAAAGTTGCTTTAATATTACCTATTGGCACCCTTGCTCAAAAAATTTTGAATGGTGCACTTGGTTGAAGGTTGAATTAATTATCAAGAGGAATAGAGATCTATCTATTACCACTTAATACAGTTTTTTTCTCCTTTTTTTTAATAGTACAATCATGTACTAGAAATTCTAAATCCGCCTCTGTATAGACTTCATCACATGTTTGTAACCTCATAAAATCAAAGTTCAAATGTCACATGTAGCTAGTTAAACTTCATTATTAATCTTTATAGGTTCAAAGATATACAATCATTTTGATCATTTATAGAAACTTATGCTTTATTCTTTCATGTATAATTATTTACTAAATTTATTTTAATAATATTGATAAAATTTTATATCGTATATTACATTATTCGACATACACGTGCAACGCACGTACGGAAAAACTAATGTACCTTAAAAATGTGTTGGCAGTACCAATGCTCGTTATAGTTCAACAATGTCTGATCTCTATTAGCTGGTAATTTTTTTCTCGCTGGATGTGTGTGACTTCGAGTAGGGACTGTCTAATACACTTCTATTAACAATTTATATATTTCTCACACGTTTTTTTTTTCAAGTTCGCTGTTTATCCAAGGGTATTTTAAGATATGTGCTTGACAATGTATGTCACAAATATATTTTTTGAAATGGTTCCAATATTTAAAAAATGAATTGAATATATTTGATTTCTTTTTAAAGAAAAACTGACTCAAACCTAACCATGAACACCCCTATAAAAGGTGTATTGACAAATGTGTCAGCTTTGTTAAAATAGAGTATAACCAGCAGACTCTGTGAGCTCTAAAATCTGCAGAAATTACAAGAACCCTTCAAAGATGATGTCGCTCTTTCAGTTGATGAGTTTCTAACATTTGAACATACTGCTGAATAACGACATTTCATAATTTCTCTCTTGGATTTACAACTGAATAGTTTGTAAGATATATACCTTTTGGTGCATAGCAAGGTTCATATATAGCAAGACAACCAACAACCTGCTGATCCAAACACTATGCGTAGTATTGGACTCGTAGGAAATATCACAAGAATTTGGTAAGGGTCAAGCTAACAGAGACGTAAAAGTTAGAACGATAGAGAAAACTTATTATTTCCTGATATAACTGTCCCCTAAGACCTAAGTGAGGATCTCTGTGTACAACAGAAACTAAACATTCCCCTCTGTCAGGATTTTAAGATATAACAGGACATTACTTTGACATTTAATGGGGAAAAAAGAAAATGAAAGAAAAGATATTGGTTGTCAGCAAGAAACCAAAATCCAAGTAGATAAAAATGGTTTGTAAGTACTCAGAATCTAGTTAGAGACTGTTCTTCAATGCAGCTCCATTCCTAAGGTGTTGTGCTCCATAGGCCGCAGTTGAAGCTACAGTTGTCAAGGCTACTAACCAGCTGCACCAATCAGAAGTAATAGATGGAATCGAGTACAACATGTTTGGGAAGAAATGAAACGAACATATACAGTCGGTAACTCACCTGAGGTAAGTGATATATGTTTGAGTTTCCTCGCTACCAAGATCTGGTTGAAGGAGAGCTGCAGCAACAAGAGCCAATTGGAAAACTGTATTTACCTGTACAACAGAAAAAACGCTTACCGAATTCGCAAGCATGCTTTACTAATGATTTGTCTCTCACAATGACCTTCTCTCTAAATCTTACTGACACTTGAAAATGAAGATGTCATATAATTCTTCAACCTTCTTAGATAATT